CGGAATCTGACAATCTCCCTATATCACTGTTTGTTGACATGCAAGTGATCACATTGAGTGATCTGAACACGAACCAACATCTGAACTCTTGATTTTTGCAAAACTTCCAGTGGCAAATATTACATGAATATCAGCACAAATTTTTTTTCTATATGAGATGAATACTCTTTCACAAGACGGACCTTAATGTGATGGTTACAGATTAGCACTCTGAAAGACATGTTACTCTACATAAATACATGTGTGTGTATTAAATATTTCTCTTGTTGGAGTCTTGTAAAGCCAAATATACAGTGTGGATTTTTTGTTGTTGTTGTTGTAGGCAGTACGGTCATCAATAGTACAAAAATAACTAGGCATAGTGTTTAATATTCACAGATTGCTCTGACGTCTAGCGGCCTTATTTTTTAACTTGCTGGTCGTACAGTTCGCTATAATTGACAGTTTGAAGAAATACTACAAAATATGATTTTTTTTTGTGCCCAAATTATGTAAGCCTGTACAAAGCATTAAAGGAAGATTGAGTATAATGTACTATATAATACGGTGCTAAATTTTCTTTGATTTCGACAGACAGCAACCGATGTAAAATTTTGTATGCTTCTTTTACAGTGATGTTTAACTGGTGTTATTCTTATCTAACGTTTGATATTTCAACAAATATGATTACTCTACGAATCACTCGTGTTCATGTGTTTGTGCCCGCATACCCCCCTTCCCCTCCAAAAAAAAAGAAACAGAGAGAGAGAGAGAGAGAGAGGCGTTTGACACCAAAGGAACATCGAAACTCATTGTTCTTATTTACATCCCTCTGTTGGACAGAAAACTACAAATTCCGGAAGCTGTGCGCTTACATGCTGTTACTCTTGGTATATTGTTATTTTTTCCAGTATATTCCCACATACCGCATCGCGACGATACGCTGCCAACAGTTGGGTTACACTAATGACAGGACAATTGCCCGTATTGACCGGATGAGATATAAATAGTCAGAACTTTTTTGTTATTTGATAGATTATTTTAATATTTGAAGACCTTAGAAATATTAGACTATATTTTATGAATATTTAACAAAAAAAAGTTGACCGGACGGATTTCACACTCACTGATGTACGCTTTACAATATTGAACTGATCGACAAAAAGTGTTACTAGTAATATTTACAATATTTTTTCATACAACTAAGAAATCTGCGATATCAATAGTTATCTTACATGAAAATTTAAACTTCATAGTAAAACAAAATGTTTTTCTAAAAAAAAAAGTTGACCGGACGGATTTCACATTCGCCGATGTACGCTTTGATTATACTGAAATGATCGACAAAAAGTGTAATAAATATCTCTTTTGTTTTTAAATATTTTTTTTCTTCGTGAAACTAAGAAACTGCGAGATCAATAAATATGTTAATATAAGAAAATATAAACTTTCCAGTAAATAAAAAAAGTTTTTCTACAAAAAAAAGTTGAGCTGACGGATTTCGCTACAAATAATAAAGACCAGATCAACAAAAAATGTTGATATTTCTCATATCTAACAATATTTTTCGGTGAAATTAATAAACCTTTAAGAAAAATAATTGTATAAATGGTATTGTATGTAAATACTAACTCAATAATAATAATAATAATATCTTTATTTAAAGAGAGTAACTCATTTGAATTAAACCCAATCGTAAGGTAATTCAAGACCATATCAAGACCACTTTCGGCTATTTTTTTGCCATACATTTTGTCCGTTTCGAGTAGCATTTTCATTTTTTGCACTTAAATCAAAACGTCATTTGCTTTCTCTTGATTTAATGAACGTCCCTTTGAGCGGGCCGCCATTTTAGAAATTAGCAACCTTTACGACGGACTCGAAACGGCGACGTCATAATACGGTCACGACACTATAGTGGCGCCGAGAGCGATGCGTATAAACAATAGTGTGATTTCCCTTTAAGTGAAATGCGGTGAAACCCCAAAATCAGAAAACGATTGATTTTTTTGTCTTAACTGATCAATTGAAATGATAGGAGCCACATTTCAATCTTTTTTTGGGCAAAAAGTCAGATATTTCATATTTAGAGCCTTAAACCTGAATTTGTGCTATTTTTAGCTTTTCCCACCCTTACAATATGCTTTCACATAAAAAAATGTCCTAAATTGTTATAAATGAACAGCAAGTTGTTTCTGTGGTGTTAGACATTAAAACATAGGTTGTTTACTACCCCAAAAAAATTGTCGTCATGAAGATTTTATGAAATTATTTGATTTTTACCCCTTATATCATTGCATCATACCATGTATTTGGCAGATAACATAGCCTGATGTAAACACTGCATAAACTCACAAAAATCCCATTTATAATCTCAAATGAACGTTTTATACCTTAAATTTTATTGACTGATAGTAAATAAAAACAGTTAAATGACCATGCCCCACATTTGATCAGTTAATAGTCCCATTACTGACACCAGGTGAAAAAAGGGGGGTCAATATTCCTTGACTCTTCAATACCTTGGATTTTTTACTAGACTCATTGTAAAAATTGTGGAAAGTCTTTAAAGTAGTAGAACAAACAAGGAAAAATCAACAAAAACTGATCTTGATATTGAAAGTTTATGTTCCTGTAGTCCAAAATGAAATTTTCAAGTATTTTCTATCAAAGTCATACATTACAGTCAGTTTAAATTGAGCTGTGAAATTTGTAATATAAGTCTCATTATGTTCAGATAGGCTGTTTTTAACTACAAATTGACTAAGGATTAAGAATAAAGCAAAACAAAAGATTTCTGATCAACTTTTTTGTCTCTTTAGGTGTCAGACCACCAATTACTCCCTCTAATTTAGAACGTATGTAAAAGTAGCCCTACTCTGACACAAAATAGTGCTTTTGATGCCCGTGTTTACTTAAACTAACCAACAAATTTGCAGAAATGAAACTTTTGGTGAAACAAAAATATATTTAGACCATTTTGAGCCAAAATTTACTTGTCTATGAGTTTGCATCAAAAATTGAGGATTAATGCGCTCCATAGTATACTAATTTAAGATCTCCAGAAAACCAGGGGTTATTTTTGGAGTACCTCTTTTTGAAGGTCAGTTTTTTTCTTAGGAGGCTTTAAATGTATGTTGAAAATTGGCATGCAGAAAGCTGATACATGTACAATTCAGGATATACCTGGTTTCTATGAAGTTAAACTCAAGGTAAAATATTTAGAAAGCTGTGAAAATTGCAAAATTTGGTTGAACAGATAGGGATATTTAATTGGTGGTCTGACACACAAGTTATTGTCCTGAAAAAAAAAAAATGCATTTTTGGCCCCTTTTTGGCACCTAATTCCTCAACAGTTAGGACAATAACCCCAAAAATCAATTCCAACATTCCTTTTGTGGTATGGAACCTTGTGGTACAATTTTATAGAGACCAAATGTCTTCAGACATCGACGACGATGACATCACCATATCATTATACGGCCACAAAAATTTTGCGGTAGTATAAAAATGATCTGATCATAAAAATCTGACCACAGATATTCTTAATTCTGTTGCTCTCAAATGCAAGTTTAGGGTTTCATTTGCTATCAGTGCAAACTAAATACTGAGGTTGTTTGGTATTCCTTGATCTGATATTAATCACCTGATTTATCAAGTTAATGAACTAATGTACTGTTACACCACTGTCCCAGGTCAGGGGGAGGGTTTGGTGCCAGCAAACATGTTTTACCCTGCCACGATTTGTATGTGCCTGTCCCAAGTCAGGAGCCTGTAATTCAGTGGTTGTCGTTTGTTGCTGTATTTCATATTTGATTTTTGATCATTTTGTACATAATTCAGGCAATTAGTTTTCTCGTATGTATTGTTTTACATTTGTCATTTTGGGACTTTTATAGCTGACTATGCCATATGGGATTTGCTCATTGTTGAAGCTGTACGGTGAACTATAGTTGTTAACTTCTGTCATTTGGTCTCTGGTGGAGAGTTTTGTCATTGGCAATCATACCACATCTTCTTATTTTTTATCTGGAAATAGATCAAGAACAACAGATACAAGCCAGATGAAAACTTTGAATCACTTCGACAGATGTCTACACAAAATGTCAAAATTTAATCTTCCTGAGGACTACTTATATTACTGTATGTAAAACTTAGCAAAGTTAACCTCTTGAGGCTCTCATCTAAGATGTTGTCAGAATGACAATAGAAAGGCAGATACTGTCTTAAATAAACTGTTGAAACAAAGATATCTCTCTCCTATTGGCATAAAATTCAGAAAAAGACAATCTGATGGACAGCAACATTGCTAATTAATTCAAAATCCGTGGACCATGAACTAGTGGGCAGGGCTGTGAAATGGTCAACAAACTGAAATGTACAGACAGTAATGTAACTTTATAGAAAATATCATTGTCTATTATTGTAAATAGATCTAATCAAACTAACTTAAGCAGAAAACCTAGCATTGAAAATTGGTAATTATTGAAAGTTACTGGATCATGACCTACGGGGGCAGGGAGTCTTAAATAGTCGTCAAACTGATATGTACTGATAGTAATGCAACTTTATAGAAAATATCATTGATCTATCACAAGTAGTTCCTATCAATCTGACTTGAGCAGAAAACTTAACATTGAAAATTGCTAACAAATTCAAAGTCACTGGACCATGACCTAGGGGCAGGGTCTCAAAATAGTTATCAAACTGATATGAACTGATAGCAATGCAACTTAATAGAAAATATCATTGATCTATCACAAGTAGTTCTTATCAAACTAACTTAAGCAGAAAACCTAACAATTGTTGAGGCCATCGGGAAAAGTAATACCTATGTCTTGCCTTCCGTGACTTTTGTTGCAGGTGAGACAAAACTATTATCTTTTTATACCTTATGAGATTTGCATATTTTTATATGCTGTATTGTGAAGTATAGTTGCTTTGGTCTTTTGTGGAAGGTTGTTTCAATTGTCAGTCATACCACATCTCCATAATTTTATTAAGTAAAACCAATGAATTAGTAGTGTAAATTAACATTTTAATATTTTAATAGTTATATTAACTGTTCTCATCACTTTTTAAGGTCACCAATATCATCTATACTATCTTCATCAATCTGAAACAAAAATAATCAAATATTAAATATTGTAAGTTTCATATCTGTTAATAAACTGCTTCGCAGAGCGCAGCTGGCTACGACCACAGAGGTCAGACCCTGAACAGTTGGGGCAAAAATGGACACAATATTCAAACTTGATACAGGTATGAATTTGGATTGTAATTAAATATTTGACACATTATAGGTTTTTGACACAGACTAAATGTAGTCAAAGAACTTGAAATTGGTTATATGATTTCAATTTATATTCAATCGAAGATTTCTTGCTTTTGTACAATACACTGTGCTGTCGGGCAATACTTAGTAAATCTGTTTTCAGACCATATACAAAGAATTAGCAAAATAAATTGTGACGCCAATTTTCTTAAATCTTGAGGAAAAAATTTTGTTTTTTTACCCCCCTCACCAAAAAAATTTTTTTTGACGCCCTGGTCACCCCCCACCCCCTTTTTTCCAAAAAAATAACATTTGAATAATTTTCTTTTTATAAAATGTGGTACAATCTAAGAGACATCAATACACTTCGACACAAGTGATTATCTGAAAACTAGAAAAATGCTTGTTTTAGACCCTTTTTGGCCCCTAGTTCCTGAACGGTTTGGGTAATTATCCCCAAAATAAATCCCAACCTTCAACTTGTTGTATTGAACCTTGTTGTACACAATTTTAGAGCAATCAAAATACTTATACACAAGTTATTTTCCTGAAACTAAATAAATGCTTGCTTTGGGCCCCTTTTTGGCCCCTAATTCCTAAACGGATGGGACCATCACCCCCAAAAACAATCCCAACCTTCCTTTTGTAGTAATGAACCTTTTGCTTAAATTTCATAGAGATCCATACACTTAAACTAAAGTTAATGTCCGGAAACCAAATGTCTTCGGACATCGACGACGACATGATAGCAATAAAAAATTGATACATGCAAATCTTCAAATACAATACTGATATATTCATCCTAATGCAATTGAAAGAAAATACTGTTAAATCCTACACTTAAAATAAGTCTAATTATGTCTTGCTTGTGCACAAATTTTAGACAATCAATCATGGAACTGATGCCCTGAAATTTGTGGTGTTATCCAATCAAAATGAACGTTACAAATAATGTTGCATTAAAATGATGATTGACTTTATTCAAAGCTGTATTTATAAATGTACTTATTAATTTCTTCAAAAATACCAGTTTGCATAGCAATGAAATGCACTAAATCTGCAACTAGCAATTAGTAAAAGAAATTAAAGATAGCTATAGTTTTTATACGCCCGTCAAATTTTTGACGGGACGTATTATGTTATACAAATGTCCGGCGTCCGTCCGTCTGTCTGTCCGTCCGGCATAAACATGTCGCACCGTAACTTGAGAATGACTTATCCAAATTTCATGAAACTTAATATAGTTGTTTCTTATGATGGTCAAACGATCTGTATACTTTTTGGTGAAAATAAGATTAAAACTTTTTGAGTTACGGGACTTAGTAACTAAAACAGGTGTGTTTTTTTTTTCACATATCGCGCCGTATCTCAAAAACAATTTATGATTATTGCTTTAAACTTTACACACTTCTTAGTTATATTAATCTTAAGATCTGTATACTTTTTGGTGATGATTCAAAATTTTATTTTTGAGTTATTGAGTATTTTGTTAAAAAAGGGGGAGGGGTTTTTCACATGTCGCGCCGTATCTCAAAAACAGTTTATGATTATTGCTTAAAACTTTACACACTTCTTAGTTATATTAACCTTAAGATCTGTATACTTTTTGGTGATGATTCAAAATTTTATTTTTGAGTTATTGAGTATTTTGTAAAAAAGGGGGAGGGGTTTTTCACATGTCGCGCCATATCTCAAAAATGATTTATGATTATTGCTTAAAATTTTACACACTTCTTAGTTATATTAATCTAAAGATCTGTATACTTTTTGGTTTTGATTCAAAATTTTTTTTTTGAGATATTGATTTTTTTTTTTTAAAAGGGGTGTTTTCACATGTCGCGCCGTATCTCAAAAACGATTTATGATTATTGCTTAAAATTTTACACACTTCTTAGTTATATTAATCTAAAGATCTGTATATTTTTTAGTTTTGATTCAAAATTTTATTTTAGAGATATTGAGTTTTTTGTAAAAAAAAAAAGGGGTGTTTTCGCATGTCACGCCGTATGTCAGAAACTATTTATGCTTATTGCATAAAAATTCACACACAAGACGACGGGCGTATCATGCCCTCATGGCGCAGCTGTTTATTATTGTCATGAAATCCAAAAGTCTAAAGGTCATTTATCTACAAAAATAAGTCAACTATAAGACTACACAATCTGTAAGAAATCATTCACAAATACATGAGAGAACTAAAATCTAGATCTGTTTCCATAGAAGGGATGAGGTAATTGACTGTAATTAATTACAATTTCTCTTGTAATTTAATGTAATGTGTATTTTAGTCATTTTTCAAATACATGTAAACTAATTAGTTATGTTGGGAGAAAAATTTGTAATTCCAATTTATACATTCAATTACATTCATTGTTTAAGGTAACATGTAGGTAAATGGATGATGTTATGGAATTTTATAAAATTTTGTATACAACTAGAGAATGAGGGACTGCACAAGAACATCGAAAAAAAGATAAATATAACTTTTATAGCTCAAATGTATAGAATACATGTAAATATCTTATGTGAAAATACAAAAATAATTGTGACTTTGTGGCTAGAAGTCTTATTTTTGACGTTTATAGATATTACAGAGATGCTGGAATAGATTATTCAGCAAAAACAAATTTGGTGAACCCCTATAAATTTCACTTTTAGCCATGTCAGCCATGTTTTTTGGATGGCAAGATCATCTGACACATTTTAAACTTGATACCCCAACGGTGAATTTGGAAAAGTTTGGTTTTAATTGGTCCAGTAGTTTCAGAGTAGAAGGTTTTTGTTGAAGCCAAAGAAGAACAGACAACACCATTCCAATGGCGTAATTGTAATTTAAGTTATAGATTATTCATATTTTAAGGTTTTCCTTGTCATATAAATCTCGAGTGATGTCTAGATTAATGTAGGGAGGTCTTTCTTTGGGTAATCCAGAAACTCAAAGGTGTGTTTTATGACAAAGAAAACCTTAAAACATAAACTATCAGACTGTCAAAAACATTATTTTGTGCAAAGATTTGCAGGAAATTGTATCCCATTTTACCAATCTGACACATTAAAGTGGGAGTTTCATTTCTAATGGCTCAATTATAAGGTGAACTAAAAACTCCCTTATTTAGATATAAACATTAATAACCACTGTCCAGTTTAATACATTAAAAATGTTACTTTATTTGCATTTGAAGACCCATAAGCAAGAAACAAATAAATGTTACACTGTATGGTACAAACGTAGGTAATATATTATACATGTATCTACTTTGTTAATGGGGGAATCCATGTTTCTTCTCTGGGTTCATGACATTTTGACCGCGAAAAAGCAGATTATTTTTTTCAACAATTCCAAATGAAATTATTCAGAATAATCGTTTTATTCTCTTTTGTCTGGCAGTACAATTTTTTCTTTTATTTTTCTTCTTCAAAATTGAGAATGAGGATAAAATATTATAGCCTCATCAAATAACTTTGAAATGGGAATATTTGGAAATTGGATTGTGTAAAATGTATAAATGAAAAAAAAAAAGCATGAAATGACATAAACATGATAAAGACAGTACAGCACATAATTGTCTAATAGATATAAGAAGATGTGGTATGAGTGCCAATGAGACAACTCTCCATTCAAGTCAAAATTTATAAAAGTAAACCATAGATCTTGTCTTGCTGATCATTTTTGCTTGTATCGTTTCTATCTATCTATTATAGTTTTTAAGATATAAGGCAAAAGCACACAAAAATGGTAAAAATCGTCATTAAAAGGCAATTACTCTAATAAGGAGTCGACTAACAATTTTGGTCATGTTGACTTACTTGTAGATCTTGTCTTGCTGATCATTTTTGCCTTTAAAGTTTCTGTCTATCTATTATAATTTTGGAGATAAAAGGAAAATATTTTAAATAAATGGAGAAAGTGTCCATGGGACACAGATGATGCCCCAGCTTGCATATAACGTTATAAAGGGACATAAGTAGAGAACTGTAAAAGTGATGCCACCCAAAATAGAACTTGATCTGTTTCTTATGGTAATACATGTGAGCATTGTGTATAAGTTTTATAACATTTGGTTGAGGCAAAATAAAGTTAGAGAACGGAAACGAAAAATTCAGCATATTTTCCATTTATGAAGGGGCGTAACTCCTATAAGAAGTCGTCTGACAGTTTTGATGAAAGGAGACAACATTCTAAACATTTTTGCTCTTGTCAGAATTTCTCTATTAATGATGGTTTTCAAAATATTAGGCATAACTTGCATTTTACCACTGAGCTCTATTTTTAGCCATGTCGGCCATCTTGGTTGGCAGGCGTGATCATCGGACACATTTTTTAAACTAGATATCCCAATGATGATCGTGGTAAAGTTAAATTTGGCCCAGTAGTTTCAGAGGAGAAGATGTTTGTAAAAGTTAACAGACAACAACGGACGACCAGTTCCTTTAAGGGATTAATTGACGAATTCTGTAGTTAGACTTATTGGTACATCTTACTTTGCTGAACATTTTTGCTGTTTAAAATTTCGCTTTATCTATAATACTTTTCCAGATAACAACCAAAAACTTAGAAATTTCATAAAAATTTGTAAGGGGTTCCGTGGAACCCTGTGTCTCGCTGCAGTCAGTGTAAAAGTGTAATGTTGACTTAAAAAGTGAGTCCATTTGTCAGTAAAATACAGAATTTAAAAAGAAATTCAAACTTTTTCTTCAGATGCCATTTCTTGTTCTTGAAGATTAGCTTCTGTCCAAGTTTCATAGCAATCCATGAAGGTTTACAAATTTATCATGTCAACAAAATTTAATCCCAGACTGTCTGTAAATGTTAACTGTAAAAAACTAAGTCCATCTATCAGAAAAATACTGAAAATGTAAATATTTTTTTCAAAAGTTTGCATCAGACATTATATCTTAATCATAAAAAAGCTTCTGACAAAGTTTCATAAATTCTATGAATGTTTGACAAAGTAAGTGATGTGTAACAAACTTTAACCTCAGACTGAATCTGAATGTTAACTGTAAAAAAAAACTAAGTCCATTTATCAGTAAAATGTGGAAAAATGAAAATTAATATTTTCAAAATTTTGCTCTGGATACTGTATTTTGGTCATAAACAATCTTCTATCCAAATTTCCTAAAATTCCATGAAGGTTTGACAAAGTTTTTGATGACTGAACACTTTAACCTCAGACTGAATCTGACTGTTGACTGTAAAAAAAACTAAAAGTCCATTTATCAGTAAAATATGAAAAGATATACCGGTACTAAAATCTTGAAAATTGAACTAGACCTTCATTAAGTCCCAAGAAACAACATATTTAAATTTGAAAAAAAATTGTTAAAGCGTTTTCATGTTATTGTGCTGACACTGTTTGGCAGCCACCCGTAGATCCGCCCAGCCGCCCGCTGTACATCACCATTTTAATAACCGATATTTCCTTCGAAAATCCGGTTAAAAGTGACATAAATGTTGCAGGCTTGACAAACACACAAACTTCATACTCCATACCATAAGGGATCATTCACTCCAAATTTGGTTGAAATTGGTTCAGTAGTTTCAGACGAGAAGATCGTGGAAAAAATGTACATCGATGATGACGACAGACGCCAAGTGAGGCAATAGCTCACCTGACCTGAAGAGCCATGTGAGCTAAAAATGAAAACAATGGAAATGTACAACATTGTACAAGTAACTAAGTATTGTATAAATTAAATATATATAAGTTTAACTTTGTTTTCAACATTTACTTCTTCTGCCAATTATTAACCTACAATTTTTTACACTATTTCCAGTGTGTTACATGATGTAATCATCAATTTAAATGAGAGCTGTTCCAAAAATAAATGTATGGGGGGAGGGGGGGGTCGTAAGGCACTTTTTATTTGACCCCTCCATGCATAAATTTTTAATTGGATATTTCCTTTAATTGTTCAAGCAATCTTTCTTAAATAACCAACACCCATCAAATTTTAATAAAAGTGCCTTTCAGACACCCCCCCCACCCATCATACAATTAATTCTGGAAAAGCCCCGAGTTGGTTTCCAATCATTTGATAATAAAATGGCATCCTTTGACAACTTTATTGCCGGTAAACATTGGCCAAAGGTAAATAAATTTGATTTCCTTGGATTTTATCCCATAAGCCAAGGCCAATCATGTGATCAATTGCATCATTTGTTTGAGATCCTGACTTACTGCCCTGAGGCCAGGATCCCATGCTACATTTGTTTTGTCTCTATTGGATTTTACCATTATTGCAAGCAATGCATGAAAACAGAAGTCAATTTCCAGTAAAAATATTGACATAAAGAAAATTGCTTTAACAGCTAAAGAATATCCTTGATGACAAGACTCATCTAGTGTTACAAGGATGTATTCTGTGGATGCACAGGTTCATGATATGGCATGTCCAGACAGAAAAAAACAAAATCTAAGAGGTATGTACAAACCTGAACTAGAACCATGCCAGTGATAATTTTATCAATCATAATTTTAATGCAATCATCAATTCTTTCCCTTAAGTGTTGTAGAAAATGGTCCTTTGCAGGATATTTTTCAGAAAATTCACTTTTTCAGAAATTGACAACAACTCTAGTGGTGATTTAAGTCATCGATTATAAATCTCAAAAGAAGAATAATTCATTTATTATTTAGCCAGTTGATCAAATCATCAAATCATCAATTTTCTAATTTTCATAAAGAATCTTTATATAGTATACATTGCCTGCCAAGACAAGTTCATAATTGTCAGATTGAATTTCTGCTTTTTAGAGGGTCTTCAAAACATCATTTCTGAAAATATTAAATTATTACAATATAAATCCTGTTTACCTGGGGCCATTTCTCAGGAAGGAAGTCAAATAAATCATCTTTAACATCTCCTTGTATTTCTATTTCATCTTCTCCTTGTATTGATGACCCACATGAAAACTTTTTAGAAAAAGCTTTACTGGCATCTTTCAAATCTATATCTGAAGAGAAAAAAAGTTTCATTGCAAATAATGTTTTATAAAAGGTGATATATTTTATTTCTCTAGACTTATATTTTAAGAAATTGCCTATGCCTACAGGCAACAACTGCAAAAATCACCCAACTAAAATGAAACTCAAATTCAATCTATAACTTTTTATGATGGGACTATATACCAAATAACTTAACAATTGGTTTAGGCATTACAGAAAAAAGATTGAGAAACTGATATTTTTTTAAGCTGTTGCTTAAGGCAATTACCATTTAGTAAATTTTTTTGAGAGTTCTAGTTTTCATCCTTATGTACATGTAAAAAAGTATTACACTGGACAGGAAATGATACTGATAAAATTCAGAAAAGGATATTAACCATCAAGTTTAATAACTAAAAATTTTAATCAAGTCAAACTTTTGCTTTTATTTACCATGCAATACGCTTTTTGAATATGTACAAAATAAGACCTTTAATCACAAGTCATGAAATAATTTCATAACAAATAACATCAGTTAAAAGGATAATCAGTCAAATAAAAAAAATTATAAAAAAAAGGATTGTGGTATGATTGCATTTGCCAATGCCAATACAACAACTATCCACTAGAGTTTTCTCCTTGTTGAAAACAGTATTCTCTATTCTTAATTTTTTATAAGCTGCTGTCCAAGTATTAAATAAGGTTTGACAAATTTATAATTCATGTCAAAAAACTTGAATGCAAGACTATATCTAAATGTCAACTGCCAATAAATTGCTTCGCCGAGCGCAGCTAGATACAACCGCAGAGGTCCAACCATGAACAGTTGGGGCAAAAATGGACACAATATTCGCACTTGATACAGGTCTGAATTTGGATTGTAATCCAATATTTGACACATAATAGGTTTCTGACACAGAATAACTGTAGTCAAAGAACTTAGAATTGGTTATATGATTTGAATTTATATTCACTTTTTTGCTTTTGTGCAATACAATATGCTGTTGCAAATTGACCCCCCCACCCCAAAAAATTTTTTTTTTACCCTTCTTCTTTTTCAAAAATAGTTTTTTTACCCCCCCCCCTTTAAAAAAAAAAAAAAATATTTGAAGAATTTTCTGAAATCTTGAGGAGAAAAAATTGTCCACACCCCTAATTTATTTTAAATTAATATACCTTAATCAGCATTTTTTAAAATTATCAAAATAGTAACTTCTAAAAATAAATTGACAGCTAATCACCTCAAGACAATACAACATTTCTTTATACATAATTTAAAAGCAGTGTGAGGGAGGTAATTCAAACACAATATTGTACTTAAGTAATTGTCCATCAACCAGGACACCCTTGTTTTTCTCACTTTTTTGCCCCTAATTCCTAAACGGTTTGAGCCATAACACCCCAAAGCCAATCCTAACCGTCCCTTTGTGGTATGGAAACTTGTGGTATAATTTCAGTGAGGTACACCATTCCACAAGTTATTGTCTGGAAACTAGAAAAATGCTTATTTGGGCCCCTTTTGGGCCCCTAATTCCCCAAATCAATCCCAACCTTCCTTTTGTGGTTATAAACCTTGTGTTCAAATTTCATAGATTTCTATTTACTAATACTAAAGTTATTGTCCTGAAACCAAATGTCTTCGGAGGACGACGATGACGACGTGATACCAATATACGACAGCAAAATTTTTTGCGGTCATATAAAAAGTTCATTATAAAATAAATGGGGAATGTGTCCATGGGACACAGTTGATACCCCGCTTGTATAACGTTATAAAGGGACATAACTCAAGAACAGTAAAAGTGATGCTACCCAAATTCATACTTGATCTGAGTTTTGTGGTAATAAACATTGTGTATAAGTTTCATAACATTTGGTTGAGGCAAACTTAAGTTAGAGAAAGCTAACGAAAAATTCATCAATTTTTCCATTTGTAAAGGGGCATTACTCTAGAACGGTAAAAGTGACACCACCAAAATTCAAACTTGATCTGTGTTTTGTGGTAATAAGCATTGTGTATAAGTTTCAAAACATTTGGTTGAAGCAAACTAAAGTTAGAGAACAGAAACAAAAAATTAAGAAATTTTTCCATTTGTCAAGGGCCATAACTCTATAACGGTAAAAGTGACGCCACCCAAATTCAAACTTGACCTGTGTTTTTTGTTAATAAGCATTGTGTATAAGTTTCATAACATTTGGTTGAGGCAAATAAAAGTTAGAGAACGGAAACCAATTTTGGGACGTACTGAAGGACGGACGTACATACAGACCAACAAGGGTAAAACTTAATGCCCCCTCCGCTACGGCGGGGGCATAAAAACAAATATGACAGACATGAACCAATGACTATCACTGAATTACAGGCTCCTTACTTGGGACAGGCATGTATGCTATCTGATCTAAATTATATGAAGATTGTTTGTCAGGGGGTCTACAAAGCATCAATCCTGTAAAGATTCATAATAAGAATGAAAACATCTACTTGAGCTTTTCAACCTACTACTGCAGCTTGAACCCAAATTAAACCTAGGTAATTTATGATTGGTTCAGAGTTTATGTCAAGCAATACATTTTTGAGAGGCATCAGAATTTTATATTAAAAATTATAGCTTTTTTATAATTATCACTTTCAAAGTGCAGGAATTTGTCTTAAACAACAATACATCAATAATAAAGAATTCAACCCTAAGTTAAATTGAGTTAACAAGCATCAGACTTTTTTCCTCAAGATGCTAATGAAGCCTTGGTGAACACTTCTGTAAAGAAACTGAACCTATAGAATTATGACATTAAGTCTTTGAAACATCAATTGGTAGTTTCCATTTGAAAGCTTTCAGAATATTTATAATCTGTGATATCATTTATCTTATTTTCTTCCAAGTATTTGCTTGAAGAAAGTACATAAAATTTTGTCAATTTTTCATTCCAAACCTCTATAGATTTCAAAGGGGACAAAGAGGATAGATAGGCATATTAAACAGTCAAGGGTGTAACTTAAATAAGTTATTAGAGAAAAATAACATACATGTCATTATTGTGGGCTAAAATATCAAATAAACTGCTTCGCTGAGCACAGCTGGATACGCCCGCAGAGGTCAAACCCTGAACAGTTGGGGCAAAAATGGACACAATATTCAAGCTTGATACCGGTCTGAATTTGGATTGCAATTAAATATTTGATATATTATAGGTTTCTGAATAAATGTAGTGAAAGAACTTGAAATTGGTTATATGAAAGATTTCTTGCTGTTGTGCAATACACTGTGCTGTTGCGCAATACTTAGTAAATCTGTTGTCAGACTATAAACAAATAAAATCTTATAACTCAGAAACGTAAAATCGAAAATTTATAAAAATCAAAAGGGAGCTTACAAAAATAGATATAAACAATTTACCAAAGTTTCATAAAAAATGCTGAAAGCATTTTTGAGTTATTGTCTGAAAACTGGAAAATCCCCCCTTTTTTAATGAATAAAACCCCAAAATTTCAGAAACGGTAAATCCGAAACTTATATGAACAATTCACAAAAGTTTCATGCAAATTGGTGAAATTTTCTTTGAGTTATTGACCGAAAACTGGAAAATCCCCCGTTTTGTAATGAATAAAACCCCAAAACTCGGAAATGGTAAATCCGAAATTTATAAAAAAACGAAAGGGAGCTCACGTCAATAGATATGAACAATTCACAAAAGTTTCATGCAAATTGGTGAAATTTTTTTTGAGTTATTGACTGAAAACTGGAAAATCCCCCCTTTTTTAATGAATAAAACCCCAAAACTCGGAAACGGTAAATCCAAAATTTATAAAAAACCAAAGGGAGCTCAAGTCAATGGATATGAACAATTCACAAAAGTTTCATGCAAATTGGTGAAATTGTTTTTGAGTTATTGTCTGAAATTTATAAACTAGAGGCTCTCAAGAGCCTGTGTCGCTCACCTGACTCTACTTTAGATTTAGAAATCATGTAAAGATAGATAAAAATCATAACAGATACCCAAATAATGATTGAGGCCAAATTTGGTTTTAATATTGGTCCCGTTATTTAATAAAATATCCTGGTGGCCATCTTGAACAGTAAATCGGCAACAAAGTAGCAACACTTGGTCAGTATCTCATAAGGAACATTCATGCCAAGTTTGGTTTCATTCCATTCAGTGGTACTCTAAAAGAAGACATTTGTATGTATTTTCCATAGGGTCCTATGTTAAACTAAGTCCCCCCCTGGCGGCCATCTTGGATGATGGACTGACTGCAAAGTAACAACACTTGGTCAGCACCTCATAAGGAACATTCATGCCATGTTTGGTTTCATTCAATTCAGTGGTTCTCTAAAAGAAGACATTTGTATGTATTTCCCATAAGGTCCTATGTTAAACTAAGTCCCCTGCTAGCAGGCATCTTGGATGATGGATCAGCTGCAAAGAAACAACACTTGGTCAACACCTCATAAGGAACATTCATGCCATGTTTGGTTCCATTCCATTCAGTGGGTCTCTAAAAGAAGACATTTCTATGTATTTCCCATAGGGTCCTAAGTTAAACTAAGTCCCCCGCTGGCGGCCATCTTGGATGATGGATTGACTGCAAAGTAACAACACTTGATCAACACCTCATAAGGTACATTCATGCCATGTTTGGTTCCATTCCATTCAGTGGTTCTCTAAAAGAAGACATTTGTATGTATTTCCCATAGGGTCCTATGTTAAACTAAGTCCCCCGCTGGCGGCCATCTTGGATGATGGACCAACTGCAAAGTAACAACATTTGGTCAGCACCTCATAAGGAACATTCATACCATGTTTGGTTTCATTCCATTCAGTGGTTCTCTAAAAGAAGACATTTGTATGTATTTCCCATAGGGCCCTATGTTAAACTAAGTCACCCACTGGCGGCCATCTTGGATGATGGATCGGCTGCAAAGTAACAACACTTGGTCAGCACCTCATAAGGAACATTCATGCCATGTTTGGTTTCATTCCATTCACTGGTTCTCTAAAAGAAGACATTTAAAATTGAGAATGGAAATGGGGAATGTGTCAAAGAGACAACAACCCGACCATAGAACAGACAACAGCAGAAGGTCACCAACAGGTCTTCAATGCAGCGAGAAATTCCCGCACCCGGAGGCGTCCTTCAGCTGGCCCCTAAACAAATATATATACTAGTTCAGTGATAATGAACGCCATACTAAACTCCAAATTGTACACAAGAAACTAAAATTAAAAATAATACAAGACTAACAAAGGCTAGAGGCTCCTGACTTGGGACAGGCGCAAAAATGCGGCGGGGTTAAACATGTTTATGAGATCTCAACCCTCCCCCTATACCTCTAGCCAATGTAGAAAAGTAAACGCATAACAATACGCACATTAAAATTCAGTTCAAGAGAAGTCCGAGTCTGATGTCAGAAGATGTAACCAAAGAAAATAAACAAAATGACAATAATACATAAATAACAACAGACTACTAGCAGTTAACTGACATGCCAGCTCCAGACTTCAATTAAACTGATTGAAAGATTATGTCTTCATCATATGAATATCAGGCACAATCCTTCCCGTTAGGGGTTTAGTATCATACCATCATAACATATATGAGAACATAACCCGTGTCATGCCAACAACTGGTTTTTAAATAAATGTGTTTAGTGCCGATGCAAAGACCCTATAAGTGAATCAATATTAACGCCAAAATATGCAATCTTTAATGACCTGACAACAGTATCGTAACTATATCCTTTCTTAATAAGTCTATTTATAGGTTTTGTTAGCTTCAGAGGTGAATACTGACATTTTTGTGCTTTATAAAGAATATTTCCATAAAAAATTGGATGTGAAATACCTGAACGTATAAGAAGTCTGCATGTTGAGCTATATTTACGAATGATGTCCTTATACCGATGATAAAATTTAGTAAATGTTTTGACTAGTTTGTGATATCGAAAACCCTGGTGTAATAATTTTTCAGTAATACATAAATTTCTCTCGTTAAAATCTAAAACATTGTTACATACACGAGCGAATCGTACAAGTTGAGATATATAAACACCGTAAGATGGTGACAAGGGAACGTCACCATCTAAAAATGGATAATTAACGATAGGAAATGAAAAATCATCTCTTTTATCATATATTTTAGTATTAAGCTTTCCGTTAATGATATAGATATCAAGATCGAGGAAAGGGCAGTGGTCATTGTTAGTATTAGCTTTATTTAAAGTAAGTTCAACAGGATAAATTTCTTTAGTATACATACTGAAGTCGTCATTATTGAGAGCCAAAATATCATCCAAATATCTAAAAGTATTATTAAATTTGTGTATCAGATGTTGTTTCGATGGGTCTTTGCTGATTTTTGTCATAAATTGTAACTCATAGCAATACAAAAAAAGGTCCGCAATAAGTGGTGCACAGTTAGTCCCCATTGGAATTCCGATAACCTGACGATATACGGAATCTCCAAAGCGAACAAAAATGTTATCTAGTAAAAATTCAAGGGCATATATAGTATCAAAGCATGTCCAATTGACATAGTTTTTTTGTTTATTGCTACTAAAAAATGACCTAAAAGAGTTTGAACATATATATTCACATTCTGACTTTTTAAATGCCCATTTAATTAGATGTGTGAATTTTTTCTTAATGAGAATGTGAGGCAATGTGGTATATAGGGTAGAAAAATCAAAACTTTGAACAGATTCAAAATCACCAATATATGCATGCAATTTATCAAGTACTTCCAACGAGTTCTTGACACTCCAAAAGTAATTAATTCCACTATTTTCAAAGGCCTTATTTGAACAATTTATTATCAGGTTTTTGATTGTACCAAGTGTACTGGTAAGAAGAATAGACAATTTAGTAGTGGAACAATGGCTTGAAGATGAAATGAATCTATATTTGTAAGGTGTTTTGTGTAGCTTCGGAAGCCAATACATAGTTGGGACTTTCATTGTATTTGGTTCTGCTTGTAAAGCGGTAGCTAAAAGTTTATGTTTGTTACAGATGTCGTTTTCTGAAAATGGAGTCAGTTGGAATGTTGGTGAATTGGTGATTTCTTTTTTCAGAACCTCAATGTAAAATTTACGTCAAACAATAATAATATTATTAGCAGCTTTATCGGCCGGGACAAAAACAAATTCCTTGGCTAGTTCTTTTAGTTTATGTTTGATACAAGAAATAGGTTTATTGTGGTTATTGTTAAGAGTAAAATGTTCTTTAAAATGTTGAATACGTATATCAACTATGTTCATTACTGATTTAAAAAAAGAGTCCAAAGATTTTTTGTCAGCTTTTTCCCGTTTTATCCATTTCAAACAGTAAGTATGGAGTGAGTCGTGGATGATATTACGACACTCATTCCAATTAATAATTGACGGGGGACGATTTGTATGTATTTCCCATACGCTCCTATGTTAAACTAAGTCCACCGCTGTCGGCCATCTTGGATGATGGACCGACTGCAAAGTAACAACACTTGGTCAGCACCTCATAAGGAACATTCATGCCATGTTTTGTTTCATTCCATTCAGTGGTTCTCTAAATAAGATATTTGTATGTATTTCCCATAGGGTCCTATGTTAAACTAAGTCCCCCGCTGGTGGCCATCTTGGATGATGGACCGACTGCAAATTAACAACACTTGGTCAGCACCTCATAAGGAACATTCATGCCATGTTTGGTTTCATTCCATTCACTGGTTCTCTAAAAGAAGACATTTGTATGTATTTCCCATAGGGTCCTATGTTAAACTAAGTCCCCCGCTGGCGGCCATCTTGGATGATGGATCGGCTACAAAGTAACAACACTTGGTCAGCACCTCATAAGGAACATTCATGCCATGTTTGGTTTCATTCCATGCAGTGGTTCTCTAGAAGAAGTTCAAAATGTAAAAAGTTAACGACGACGAGGGACGACTGATGCCAAGTGATGAGAAAAGCTCACTTGGCCCTTTGGGCCAGGTGAGCTAAAAACGAAAGGCAGCTCACGTCAATAGATATAAACAATTCACCAAAGTTTCATGCATATTGGTTAAAGCGTTTTTGAATTAATGTCCGACATGTTGACGACAGATGGACGGACAGACGGTCAATGGTTTACCATAATACGTCCCGTAAACGGGCGTATAAAAACTAAGATAACATATGTTTGTTACATTGTTCAAAGAGGCGATATACATCCTTTACTTTGTTAAATTGTATACACGTTCTATTGGTATTATTATTAGGTCTTTCCACTTTTTTTGTAGAAAGACCTATTGGTTTTCTTCTGATTATTATTAGGTCTTTCCACTTTTCTGTGGAAAGACCTATTGGTTTTCTTCTGATTATTATTATTATTTTTTTCTTCTTCCGCCACTTTTTTCTGACGGTGCTTTTTTGTTTCGCAAGATGTCGCTTAGATTTTTTGTGTATGATATCGAACAGTTATTGCTATTTTGAAACTGACCCTGTTTAGCCGAATACTTTTTATTGTAAGAGTTATCTCCCTAAACACTGTTTTTCTTGTGTACAAATCTCCTTCGCAACCATTAAAGATTGCGACAAAATTATTTCACCAATTTGCTTGTTATATCTTCAGGATCTTAAAAATAATTTTGACCGAAGCGGTCCGGAGACTACATATGGGAATTATTTCCCCTTTTGTATTTTCAATAAGAAAAATGTAGTTGTGTCTTGTAAACCATAAGTGATAAAGACCTAAGGTCTTTTGATTTGAGATCCTTGGTCCAAAAAAAAGAAAAAAGGGTCAAGGTCAAAGGTCAAGGTCATTTCTAAATTTGGATTTTGGCTTATTTTCACCACTTTTCAAACACGATATAAGATATCGACAACATATTTTTACTTAATTGTTAGTTGCGACATGTCGTAACACATACATATTGGTTTAAAGGGTGCGCTTACATCAAATTAGAGTTTTCGCCCCTCTTTATTTAAAAATGTGCATATGGTGATATAACTCATGAACCAAATATAATTAAGATCTAGGGTCTTTTGATTTGAGGTCCTTGGTTGATGACCTTGAAATTGAGCCCAAGTTCAGAGGTTAAATTGTCGTTCTAGATTTTGACCTTTGCTTTTACCTCATTTGTATACATGATAAAGCCATGGGACTTTTTGCATTAAGTTGCAAGCCATATGACCTTGAAAAAGGAACCAGAAGTGACCCTGTGTAAACCGGAAGTAGCTATTTTTTTGTACTTTTTGAATGTAAAAGTATATAGAACCATATTTTTGGAATCAGTGTCAATTAAACAGTTAAATAATACCAGAAGTAACCTTTTTCAAACCGGAAGTAACAAATTATGTCCCTTATTTTAAAAATATTGTATAGAAACCATATATTTTTGGAATCAGCTTACTATAGCTATCATTTGACGCTGTTAATGACATTTTAAACCGAATTTTTACTATTTTCATATCAAAATACTTGTTTTTTGGTGGAAAGACCTTCAATTGTTCTCTGAACAATTGGTTTTTAATTATTATTATTTTTTTTTTCTTCTTCCGCCACTTTTTTCTGATGGTGCTTTTTTGTTTTGCAAGATGTCGCTTAGATTTTTTGCGTGATATCGAACAGTTATTTCGATTTTGAAACTGACCCTGTTAAGCCGAACACTTTTTATTGTAAGAGTTATCTCCCTAAACACGGTTTTTCTTGTGTACAAATCTCCTTCGCAGCCGTTGAAGATTACGACAAAATTATTTCACCAATTTGCTCGTTATATCTTCAGGATCTTAAAAATAATTTTGACCAAAGCGGTCCGGAGACTACATATGGGAGTTATTTCCCCTTTTGTATTTTTAATAAGAAAAATGTAGTTGTAGCTTGTAAACCATAAGTGATAAAGACCTAGGGTCTTTTAATTTGAGATCCTTGGTCCAAAAAAAAGAAAATAGGGTCAAGGTCAAAGGTCAAGGTCATTTCTAAATTTGGTTTTTGGCTTTTATTTTCACCACTTTTCAAACACGATACAAGATATCGACAACATATTTTTACTTAATTGTTAGTTGCGACATGTCGTAACACATACATATTGGTTTAAAGGGTGCGCTTACATCAAATTAGAGTTTTCTCCCCTCTTTATTTAAAAAATATGCATATGGTGATATAACTCATGAACCAAATATAATTAAGATCTAGGGTCTTTTGATTTGAGGTCCTTGGTTGATGACCTTGAAATTGAGCCCAAGGTCATAGGTTAAATTGACGTTCTAGATTTTGATTTTGAATGTAAAAGTATATAGAACCATATATTTTTGGAATCAGTGTCAATTAAATAGTTAAATAATACCGGAAGTAACCTTTTCAAACCGGAAGTAACAAATTATCTCCCTTATTTAAAAAATATTGTATAGAAACCTTATATTTTTGGAATCAGAGTACTATAAGCTATCATTTTACGGCTATTAATGACATTTTAAACCGAATATTTTTACTATTTTCATATCAAAATACTTGTTTTTTTGTGGAAAGACCTTCAATTGTTCTCTGAACAATTGGTTTTTAATTGTCTTTATGTATACTAAATTTTAGAAAGATATAACAGTTCATAGTTTGCCAATCATATATAGTACACCTATGTTATTACAGAAAATATATGCCTGTAATAACTAAAGGGTGTTATTACAGATTCTCTACATCTCTTCAAATCCATTTCTCAGACATATATCACAATGTATTTTAATTTATTGTAAGAAATAATGATCAGAGCATGCAATGAGGTTCTGCCCAAGATTCCAAGTAATTCCCAAGTGTCTCATTTTATAAGTTACATGCCTGTAATAACTAAGCCTTGTTATTACAGCTAAGTGTATCCCTTAAAAGCCTTGTCTCATTGATTTACCATGGTTGATCAAAAATGTATTAATTGAATTGGAAAATTAATTATCAAGGGTATGTATTAAGTTTCTGCGCAAAGTTTCAAGAAATCCCAAGAGCCCACTAAAAATAAAAATATTTTTGATATATTAACTAATAACAAACATATGTTAAAGATTAAGAAAGAAAGAGCAGACAACTCATGAAAGTATCTGTAATAACACATGTATGTTATTTTTCTCTAATAACTTATTTAAGTTACACCCTTGACTGTTAAAGTCTAGCCAATAGTTTGATTTTAGAAGGACAGAATGATGTTATGATAAAATGACAAAATGACAGAAGTACAGACTTGGGTAACACTGAATACCAAAGCTACTTAAGGAAGAAGTTACCATAAGTAGCTAAACCCATAACAATTGTAACCATTTTCTTCTTTCCTCTCTTTGCTGTGCCTATTCGAACACCCTGTGGTTCTGTTTTTTTCTTTGCTTTCATTTGTCCTTTCCCTCCTCTTTTTTGTCTTTTTTTCTCTGCATCACCCTCTCCACCTTCCTCATCATCTGAAAATATACATGTAGAAACTAAATATTTGTATTCATATTCAAACAAAAATTCTGAATAAGGCTGTTCTAGAAATAAACTTAACATTAACCAAGTAAACTAAACATTGACCAATGAACCATGAAAATGAGGTCAAGGTCAGATGAACCATGCTAGGCAGGCATGTACAGCTAACAATTCTTCCATACAACAAATATAGTTGACCTATTTCTTATAGTTTAAGAAAAACAGACCAAAACACAAAAACTCAACACTGAGCAATGAACCTTGAAAATGAGGTCAAGGTCAAATAAAACCTGCGTGACTGACAAATAGATCATAAAATATTTCCATACACCAAATATAGTTGAACTATTGCATATAGTATTAGAAAAAAAGACCAAAACTCAAAAACTTCACTTTGACCACTGAACCATGAAAAAGAGGTCAAGGTCAGATGACACCTGCCAGCTAGACATGTACACCTTACAATCATTCCATACACCAAATATAGTAGACCTTTTGCATACAGTATAAGAAAAACAGACCAAAACACAAAAACTTAACTATAACCACTGAACCATGAAAATGAGGTCAAGGTCAGATGACACCTGTCAGTTGGACATGTACACCTTACAGTCCTTCCATACATCGAATATACTTGACCTATTGCTTATAGTATCTGAGATATGGACTTGACCACCAAAACTTAACCTTGTTCACTGATCCATGAAATGAGGTCGAGGTCAAGTGATAAATGTCTGACGGGCATGAGGACCTTGTAAGTTACGCACATACCAAATATAGTTATCCTATTACTTATAATAAGAGAGAATTTAACATTACAAAAAATCTAAACTTTTTTTCAAGTAGTCACTGAACCATGAAAATGAGGTCAAGGACATTGGACATGTGACTGACGGAAACTTCGTAACATGAAGCATCCATATACAAAGTATGAAGCATCCAGACCTTCCACCTTCTAAAATATAAAGCTTTTAAGAAGTTAGCTAACGCCGCCGCAGCCGCCGGATCATTATCCCTATGTCGAGCTTTCTGCAACAAAAGTCGCAGGCTCGACAAAAACGCATGTCGTTAGTTATGCAAGTTATCTCCCTTACTCCAAGTAAGGAAAAATAAGAACACAAACAAGATTTGATGTCGTTTGGTTAATCATGAGTCCAAACAAGTATGCTTAAGCTATCTAAAAACTTCAAAGAAATGATCAGATATTGATAATTTAACATCTGTTACCGTTTCAGACACACTACAAAGGTTACAAAATAAAACTTCATATATTCAGACAAGAGTGGACACACTGAAATGTCTCGCCTTCTTTTCTTATCATTGATATTATGTTGATAGTCCTAAATATAAAGCTTTATTACAACTGTCACATAAACTTAACATTAACCAAGTAAACTAAACATTGACCAATGAACCATGAAAATGAGGTCAAGGTCAGATGAACCATGCTAGGCAGGCATGTACAGCTAACAATTCTTCCATACAAGAAATATAGTTGACCTATTGCTTATAGTATGAAAAACAGGCCAAAACACAAAAACTTAACACTGAGCAATGAACCTTGAAAATGAGGTCAAGGTAAAAAAATGTGCGTGACTGACAAATAGATCATAAAATATTTCCATACACCAAATATAGTTGAACTATTGCATATAGTATTAGAAAAAAAGACCAAAACTCAAAACTTAACACTGAGCAATGAACCTTGAAAATGAGGTCAAGGTAAAAAAAGCTGCGTGACTGACAAATAGATCATAAAATATTTCCATACACCAAATATAGTTGAACTATTGCATATAGTATTAGAAAAAAAGACCAAAACTCAAAACTTAACTTTGACCACTGAACCATGAAAATGAGGTCAAGGTCAGATGACACCTGCCAGCTAGACATGTACACCTTACAATCCTTCCATACACCAATTATAGTTGAACTATTGCATACAGTATAAGAAAAACAGACCAAAACACAAAAACTTAACTATAACCACTGAACCATGAAAATATGGTCAAGGTCAGATGACACCTGGAACCATGAAAATGGGGTCAAGGTCAGATGACACCTGCCAGCTAGACATGTACACCTTACAGTCCTTCCATACACCAAATATAGTAGACCTATTGCATACAGTATAAGAAAAACAGACCAAAACACAAAAACTTAACTATAACCACTGAACCATGAAAATGAGGTCAAGGTCAGATGACACCTGCCAGCTAGACATGTACACCTTACAGTCCTTCCATACACCAAATATAGTAGACCTATTGCATACAGTATAAGAAAAACAGACCAAAACACAAAAACTTAACTATAACCACTGAACCATGAAAATGAGGTCAAGGTCAGATGACACCTGTCAGTTGGACATGTACACCTTACAGTCCTTCCATACACCAAATATAGAAGACCTATTGCTTATAGTATCTGATATATGGACTTGACCACGAAAACTTAACCTTGTTCACTGATCCATGAAATGAGGTCGAGGTCAGGTGAAAACTGTCTGACGGGCATGAGGACCTTGCAAGGTACGCACATATTAAATATAGTTGTCCTATTATTCATAATAAGAGAGAAATTAACATTACAAAAAATCTTAACTTTTTTTTCAAGTAGTCACTGAACCATGAAAATGAGGTCAAGGACATTGGACATGTGACTGACGGAAACTTCGTAACATGAGGCATCCATATACAAAGTATGAAGCATCCAGACCTTCCACCCTCTAAAATATAAAGCTTTAAAGAAGTTAGTTAACGCCGCCGCCGCCAGATCACTATCCCTATGTTGAGCTTTCTGCGACAAAAGTCGCAGGCTCGACAAAAATTAAAACACTTCACAACAAAAATATAGCCAAACAAGAGCCTGAATCGCTCACCTGTATTTCAGAGGAGAAGATTTTTAAATGTTAGCAAACTTGATGAACAAATTGTGTAAAATTGTCTTTAAAGGGCAATAACTCCTTAAGGGGTCAATTGACAATTTTGGTCATATTAACTTTTTTGTAGATCTTACTTTGCTGAACATTATTGCTGCTTACAGTTTATATATATATCTATAATAATATTCAAAATAATAACAAATAAAATGCTTCGCTGGGCGCAGCTTGATACGACCGCAGAGGTCGAACCCTGAACAGTTGGGGCAAGTATGGACACAACATTCAAGCTTCATACAGCTCTGAATTTGGATTGTGATTAAATATTTGACACAGCATAGGTTTCTGACACAGAAAGAATGTGGTCTAAGAACTTCAATTTTTTTAATTTACCTATTATGGTCCAATGTCCAAAATCAAAATACATGGTTAGATTCAGCATATCAAAGAACCCCATATATTCAATTTTTGTTGAAATCAAACAAAGTTTAATTTTGGACCCCAACTTGGACAAACTTGAAAACTGGTCCCATAATCAAAAATCTAAACACATGTTTAGATTCAGCATATCAAAGTACCCCAAGAATTCAATTTTTGTTAAAATCAAACTAAGTTTAATTTTGGACCCTTTGGACCTTAATGTAGACCAATTTAAAAACTGGGCCCAAAATTAAAAATCTAAAAACACGGTTAGATTTGGCATATCAAAGAACCCCAATAATTCAATTTTTGATGAAATCAAACAAAGTTTAATTTTGGACCCTTTTGACCTCAATATGAACCAATTTGATAGCAGGCCCACAAAATAAAAAATCTAAATACATGGTAAGATTCAGCATATCAAAGAACCCCATATATTCAATTTTTGTTGAAATCAAACAAAGTTTAATTTTGGACCCCAATTTGGACCAACTTGAAAACTGGGCCAAAAATCTAAAATCTAAATACATGTTTAGATTCAGCATATCAAAGAACCCCATATATTCAATTTTTGTTGAAATCAAACAAAGTTTAATTTTGGACCCCAACTTGGACCAACTTGAAAACTGGTCCCATAATCAAAAATCTAAACACATGTTTAGATTCAGCATATCAAAGAACCCCAAAAATTCAATTTTTGTTAAAATCAAACTAAGTTTAATTTTGGACCCTTTTGACCTTAATGTAGACCAATTTGAAAACGGAACCAAAAATTAAGAATCTAAATACACGGTTAGATTCGGCATATCAAAGAACCCCAATAATTCAATTTTTGATGAAATCAAACAAAGTTAAATTTTGGACCCTTTGGACCTCAATGTGGACCAATTTAAAAACGGGGCCCAAAATCCAAAAACTTAATACACGGTTAGATTCAGCATATTAAAGAACCCCAAGAATTCAAGAATAAAACCCCATTGAAATTGATCAAGAAATAAGCAATTTATACGAAGTATCTTCTTTTGCACAATACTGTGTAATTGAATATTTCTTGCTATTGTGCAATACTGTACAATTGACAATTTCTTGCTATTGCGCAATATTGTGCTATTGGATATTTCTTGCTATTGCGCAATACTGTGCAATTGAAGATTTCTTGCAATTGTGCAATACTGTGCAATTGAAAATTTCTTGCTATTGCACAATACTTATTATATAATAATTTACACATCCTGTTTGGTGTGTATCTCCTACCATATCATTATTATTTGCTTTTAAATATTAATCAGAAATAACCAACTTAAAATGGAAAATTTTAAAAGAAAAAAAAAAGGAAAAAAAGAAAAAAAAAGAAAAAAAAAAATCCCCCCCCCCAAATTTTTTGAACCCCCTTATGATTCATCACCCCCAAACTCAATCCCAGCCTTCCCTTTGTGGTATGGTACCTTGCAGTACAATTTCAGAGAGATCCATACACTTGAACACAAGTTATTGTCTGGAAACTAGAAAAATGCTTATTTTTGGCCCCTTTTTGGCCCCCAATTCCTAAACGTTTCGGGCAATTACCCCCAAACTCAATTCTAGGTTTCCCTTTGTGATATGGAACCTTGTAGTACAATTTCAGAAATATCCAAACACTTACACACAAGTTATTGTCATGAAACTAGAAAAATGCTTGTTTTTTGCCCCTTTTTTGGCCCCTAATTCCTAAAATTTTGAGGCAATTACCCCCAAAATCAATCCCAGCCTTCCCTTTGTGATATGGAACCTTGTGGTACAATGTCAGAGAGATCCATACACTTACACACAAGTTATTGTCTGGAAGTTACAAAAATGCTTATTTTTGGCCCCTTTTTGGCCCCTAATTCCTTAACTGTTGGTACCATAACCCCCAAAATCAATCCCCACCTTCCTTTTGTGGTATTGAACCTTATGGTAAAATTTCATGGAGATCCATTCACTTAAACTAAAGTTAGAGTGCGAAAACCAATGTGTCTTCGGACGACGCCGGACAACGCCAGACGACGACGACGCCAACGTCATACCAATATACGACCAAAAAATTTTCAATTTTTGCGGTCGTATAAAAACTGCAAAATTTTGTTAAAACTACCAATTCGGTGGCAGCAACCCAACAATGGGTTGTTTGATTCGTCTGAAAATTTGAGGGCCGATAGATCTTGACCAATTAAACAATTTTACCCCATGTCACATTTGCTCTAAAAGATTTGGTTTTTGAGATATAAGCCAAAAACTGCATTTGACCCTTATGTTCTATTTTTAGCCATAGCGGCCATGTTTGTCGATGGATACAAACTTCGGATACAATTTATAAACAAGATACCCTAAGGAACATTTAGTTAAAGTTTGAAGGTAATTGGCCCAGTAGTTTCAGTGGAGAAGATTTTTAAATGTTAGCAAACTTGATGAACAAATTGTGTAAAATTGTCTTTAAAGGGCAATAACTCCTTAAGGGGTCAATTGACAATTATGGTCATATTAACTTTTTTGTAGATCTTACTTTGCTGAACATTATTGCTGCTTACAGTTTATATATATATCTATAATAATATTCAAAATAATAACAAAAAACTGCAAAATTTTGTTAAAACTACCAATTCGGTGGCAGCAACCCAACAATGGGTTGTTCGATTCGTCTGAAAATTTCAGGGCCGATAGATCTTGACCAATTGAACAATTTTACCCCATGTCACATTTGCTCTAAAAGATTTAGTTTTTGAGATATAAGCCAAAAACTGCATTTTATCCTTATGTTCTATTTTTAGCCATGGCGGCCATGTTTGTCGATGGATACAAACTTCAGATACAATTTATAAACAAGATACCCTAAGGAACATTTAGTTAAAGTTTGAAGGTAATTCGCCCAGTAGTTTCAGAGAAGATTTTTTTAAATGTTAGCAAACTTGATGAACAAATTGTGTAAAATTGTCTTTAAAGGGCAATAACTCTTTAAGGGGTCAATTGACAATTATGGTCATATTAAATTTTTTGTAGATCTTACTTTGCTGAACATTATTGCTGCTTACAGTTTATATATATCTATAATAATATTCATAATAATAACAAATAAAATGCTCCGCTGGGGCCCAGCTTGATACGACCGCAGAGGTCGAACCCTGAACAGTTGGGGCAAGTATGGACACAACATTCAAGCTTGATACAGCACTGAATTTGGATTGTAATTAAATATTTGACACAGCATAGGTTTCTGACACAGAATGAAAGTGGTCTAAGAACTTAAAAATTTTCAATTTACCTATTCATACATGTGATGGACTGTGAAACTCAGATCAGGAGATTGGGAAATTTTGGTCAGGAGATTAGGACTCAGATCAGGAGGTTTTTAATCGACATTAATTTTGTTGTAAATGTAACCGTGTGCTGTAAAAATGGTCTTTTAAAGTGTGTTTTCTTCAACTTTCCATCCAATTTATTATGTTTATAGTACCCTTGTACTTATAAAGTTTCTCCATCTTTATATTCTACATGTTCAATCTAACATTGTATTTTTCCAGTATGTTCTTTAAATTTTTTACTTCATATTCTATAAAACAATCATTGCAACCAGAACATTTGTTTAGCTATCTGCAAATAGTTTTTATTTTTTATTTTTTCTCTTGCAAATAGTTTTTATTTGCAAACTCAAAAAATCATTTTATCTGTAAAATTAGGGTCATAGTTATTATATAAATTTCAATTTAAGCCTTGAAAGGAAGTCTAGAATCCTCAAATAATTTTCAAATTATTATTTTTTTATTTGTCCTAAGACATTTAAAATCATTTAATAACCATCCTTTTATGATTATTTGTTCAATTTATATTTTATTTATATTCTTTTAAAAATTTTCATTATTAAAAGGAAAGTAACTTAAAACAGGATAAATCAAGGGAAGTAACCCAATAAATACACAGTTTTTGTTACACAACAGCAGTTAGCCTGAGGTAAAAATCGTTGATTACCTGTATGTTTGACACCCAAGCTGACAAGTGAAGCCATATAATTATGCATGTTAATTGATTTACAGGTAAAATATAACTTCAGGTAATGTCAGTTACACCAGATGCCTGAGATGATATGTTGGGCAGAAATTTTTCATTCATGAAAAATTTCATACACGGGATTTTTTCCTCTTCAACGGGAGGTCGGGAGGAGACCCCTGAAAACGGGATTATTGTACTCCCGTCGGGAGGTTCACATGTATGCCTATTCAAACCATATCATTATTATTTGCTTTTATATATAAATCAGAAATAACCAATTTAAAATGGAAAATGTTAAAGAAAAAAAAGGAAAAAAAAATCCCCCCCCCAATTTTTTGAACCCCCTTATGATTCATCACCCCCAAACTCAATCCCAGCTTTCCCTTTGTGGTATGGTACCTTGCAGTACAATTTCAGAGAGATTCATACACTTGAACACAAGTTATTGTCTGGAAACTAGAAAAATGCTTGTTTTTTGGCCCCTTTTTGGCCCCAAATTCCTAAACGTTTAGGGCAATTACCCCAAACTCAATTCCAGCTTTCCCTTTGTGATATGGAACCTTGCAGTACAATTTCATAAAGATCCATACACTTACACACAAGTTATTGTCCTGAAACTAGAAAAATGCATGTTTTTTTTGCCCTTTTATGGCCCCTTATTACTAAAATTTTGAGGGAAAACCCCCAAAATCAATCCCAGCCTTCCCTTTGTGATATGGAACCTTGTAGTATAATTTCATAAAGATCCATACACTTACAAACAAGTTATTGTCATGAAACTAGAAAAAATGCTTTTTTTTTTGCCCCTTTTTTGCCCCTAATTCCTAAAATTTGGAGGAAATTACCCCAAAAATCAATCCCAGTATTCCCTTTGTGAAATGGAACCTTGTAGTACAATTTCATAAAGATCCATACACTTACAAACAAGATATTGTCATGAAACTAGAAAAATGCTTGTTTTTTGCCCCTTTTTGGCCCCCAATTCCTAAAATTTGGAGGCAATTACCCCCAAAATCAATCCCAGCATTCCTTTTGTGATATGGAACCTTGTGGTACAATGTCAGAGAGATCCATACACTTACACACAAGTTATGTCTGGAAGTTACAAAAATGCTTATTTTTTGCCCCTTTTTGGCCCCTAATTCCTTAACTGTTAGTACCATAACCCCCAAAATCATTCCCCACCTTCCTTTTGTGGTATTGAACCTTATGGTATAATTTCATTGAGATCCATTCACTTAAACTAAAGTTAGAGTGCGAAAACTAATGTGTATTCGGACGACGACGACGACGCCAACGTCATACCAATATACGACCACAAAAATTTTTTTGCGGTCGTATAAAAACTGCAAAATTTTGTTAAAACTACCAATTTGGTGGCAGCAACCCAACAATGGGTTGTTCGATTCGTCTGAAAATTTCAGAGCTGATAGATCTTGACCAATTGAACAATTTAACCACATGTCAGATTTGCTCTAAAAGCTTTAGTTTTTGAGATATAAGCCAAAAACTGCATTTGACCCCTATGTTCTATTATTAGCCATGGCGGCCATGTTTGTCGATGGATCAAAACTTCGGATACAATTTATAAACTAGATACCCTAAGGAACATTTAGTTAAAGTTTGAAAGTATTTGGCCCATTAGTTTCAGAAGAGAAGATTTTTGAAATAGTTTACGACGACAGACGACGGACGCCAAGTGATGGCATAAGCTCACATGGGGCCCTTCGGGCCCCAGTGAGCTAAAAAGCAAACCTATGACTTCTGTTTTTATTGGTACCAAATTTGTTAAAATCCAACCAGCAATGACCCCAATATTGTTTTGAAAAAAACGTAGTTTTATATGAAATACATATAGTAGCGAAAAAATTGTAGGTGATGAATGAATACGTGAGTGTGTGTGTTGATCTAGAAGGACGTTAGTCATGTAGGTTTTTATATAGACACAAAGCTGAGTATTAGGTATATGAATGCAATTGAAAGATTTAGCACAGATTTCAAATTCTTATAAAAAGCAAGAAGATACTAAGGGGCTAATCAAACAGTATTTACAAGTCGAGGAACAAAGACGACAAAAAAGAATTATCCCTCCTTAAATAAAATGCTTCGTTGAGCGCAGCCTGATACGACCACAGAGGTCAAACCTTGAACAGTTGGGGCAAATTTGGACACAATATTCAAGCTTGATACTGTCTGAATTTGGATTGTGATCAAATTTTTGACATAATATAGGTTTCTGACACAAAATAAATGTGGTCAAAGATCTTATAAATCCATTGCGCAATACTGTGCAATTGAAGATTTCTTCTTGAAACTTTTCAAAAATTCGATAATTTAAAAAATTTTGAAAAAAAATATGAATCCCTTAAAAAAATTAGGAAAAAAATTCTCCCCCCCCCCCCCCAACTTTTTGAAACCCCCCTTGGAGCAATAACCCCAAAACTCAATCCCAGCCTTTCCTTTGTAGTATGGAACCTTGTAGTACAATTTCAGAGAGATCCATACACTTACACACAAGTTATTGTCTGGAAACTAGAAAAATGCTTGTTTTTGGCCCTTTTTTGGCCCCTAATTCCTACATGTTTGGGACAATTAACCCCAAACTCAATCCCAGCCTTCTCTTTGTTATATGGAACCTTGTGGTACAATGTCAGAGAGATCCATACAATTACACACAAGTTATTGTCTGGGAACTAGAAAAATGCTTGTTTTTGGCCCCTTTTTGGCCCTTAATTCCTAAACTGTTGGCCCCCATAACCCTTGAAATCAATCCCAACCTTCTACTTGTGCTATTAAATATTGTGGTACAATTTCAGAGCAATCGAAATACTTATACACAAGTTATTATCCTGAAACTAGAAAAATGCTTGTTTTGGACCCCTTTTTGGGCCCCTAATTCCTAAACGGTTAGGACCATCATCCCCAAAACTTCCCTTTTGTGGAATTGAACCTTCTTAAAATTTCATAGAGATCCATTCGCTTAAACTAAAGTTATTGTCCGGAAACCAATTTGTCTTCGGACGACGACGCAGACGCTGACGACGACATCATACCATTATACGATCCCAAAACATTTTGTGCGGCCATATAAAAACTACATAGACAATTAGAATTGAGCACTAACACGAACCCCACTCCAACATTTATCTTAGAATAAGTAAAAGCTATGTCATTCAGCCTTAGCATTTAACTTTATTCAAAAGGGCAAAAATTAACAGGTGTCTTCTATTCCGTCCGCAATTATTCGGGAATGTAAAATCTAAATTTAGAATTATTGTTGAAACTGAAACTAAACTGTAACATGTGTATGATAAAAATAGAACATGAATTTTCTTATTTATCATTATCTTCAAATTCCAATTTCCAAGAGGTAGCAAAAATTGTTTTCTTTCATTGTACTTTTGTGTACCATTCATCACCATTCAGAAGTAGTGAATGAAAGTTTGAACTTTGAAGTCAATTTTTTTTTTAATTATGAGTTTCAAGTAAAAAATCTGACACTTGTTTACTGCAATTTTAAGGAGGATTAAAAGATGCAGAAAATGAGTCTTAATTTGGTAAATCAATAAAATGTTATAACTGATTAAAATATAAAGGTTCGTTATTCTGCTACAGGATGAAATAAAACTGGATCAGTAAGTTTCAATATTTGATTCTTAAAAATCAGTACAAAACAAGCATTACCAAAAAGGTACAGACAACTGTTTAATTTAGTAAAGATGAAAGTATAATGATGATTGAAATTGGCTATTAGAAGCTGACAGTAATTTTTCTTTAATCACTTGCAGTATATTTCTCTTAAATTAGCATTAGTAAAAAATGGCAAAATGGCTGATGCACAGTCGCGCTTTTCATAGGGCAAGACACAACAGTGTATTAGCGTTACTTATATATACATTGTATAGCGTAGAAGTTGTGCATGGCGATGTCAATGTAGACCTCAATAACCTCACTGAAATTTTTCATATTTCCGCTAAAGATTAAACTTCCACAGGATATAGCTTGAAAGCTAGCACGATTGCTAAGGACTTCCTTTACATCAATCGATTCGTCCTTCATTTCTAAATCATATATCAATTTTTGAAAAAAATCTGTGGACTAATTAAATAAAATATTTTGATCATGTAAAAATTCTTGCCAAATTTCATGATTTTCCCTATATAGCCTATGTATTTTTAGCATATCATGTTATTAATTTCAACAGCTTGTATCTCAAAAAATGAAAACGGTTACCCCTTTTTTAATTTTATTTTCTGGTGTATTTTTACAAGCAAAATCCATATGTGAAAACTAAAATCATGCTGTGGAGTAGTTTAAAATTATGTACACTTCAACTTAAACAGAAAATTATTTGGTTTCAACATGTGTGTACCAGTCATGCCAGTGTGGAACCATACAATGATTATTGAATATTGGTCTATATTAAATATCACTGAAACTGGCATCGAATGTAACAAATTGTCATTGAAAAACATTGTTCTGTACAAAGAAAATGTATTACATGTACTGAAATACACTTGAAATACATGTATCATCAAAACTCCTCAGCAATGTCAATTTTGTACTATATCTGGTTAATATTACAGATATAAATTAAAATCAAAAGTTTCTAAGAAACAGACTGAGACACAGAAATTTACCAAAAACAAGTCTGGACAGACATGTGAATGGTATACGTATGAACAAAAGTAAATTTGAAATAGGACATGTACTGAATACTTTCATTATAATCAAAGCATTGTAGGTGCTGTGATCCAGCCAATTAGACATTTTCTGATCTAATTTTCAATTTTTTTTTCTTCTGAATATCAAATCATGTAAGACAATTCAAGACAGCCATCAAAACTTTGGATAAGTGAGTCTGGCCAAAATGTAAGTTTGTGAATTGTTTATTGATTTTGGGATAAAATTTATACGATACTGAAGATAAATGGTTTATAGAGTTATTTTCATTTCCATAATCTTACTATAAATTTTTTATTCTATCTCCCAACAATAGAGAATTTCTCAATATTGATGCAAATTCTTTTGATATTTCAATTTTAGAAGGTGCAGATTCTTTTACACCTTTTATTAATTAATATTTTTGAATTTAATCATTTTGATATGGATGGAAAGAAGTATCTTCAAAGGAAAGCGTAAAATATCTTTTTATCAATGTTTGACTTAACAATTAACTGAAAGCGGCATTGAAACGCACTTTTCAACAAAATGTTAAGTAACTTATTTTTATTTAAATTGGTGTTCATTCTTCTTTGGGAAAAATACATTTCCTGTTTTCAAATAGACATGTACAAATACCTTATACTGTAAAATAGCAATATAATGGGGGATAAACAAATAAATTTCATTGCAAATAAAATGCTCCGCTGGGGCGCAGCTTGATACGACCGCAGAGGTCAAACCCTGAACAGTTGGGGCAAGTATGGACACAACATTCAAGCTTGATACAGCACTGAATTTGGATTGTAATTAAATATTTGACACAGCATAGGTTTCTGACACAGAATGAAAGTGGTCTAAGAACTTAAAAAATTTTAATTTACCTATTCAAACCATATCATTATTATTTGCTTTTATATATAAATCAGAAATAACCAATTTAAAATGGAAAATTTTAAAGAAAAAAAATGAAAAAAAAATCCCCCCCAAATTTTTTGAACCCCCTTATGATTCATCACCCCCAAAGTCAATCCCAGCCTTCCCTTTGTGGTATGGTACTTTGCAGTACAATTTCAGAGAGATCCATACACTTGAACACAAGTTATTGTCTGGAAACTAGAAAAATGCTTGTTTTTTGGCCCCAAATTCCTAAACGTTTAGGGCAATTACCCCCATACTAAACCCAGCTTTCCCTTTGTGATATAGAACCTTGCAGTACAATTTCAGAGAGATCCATACACTTACACACAAGTTATTGTCCTGAAACTAGAAAAATGTAGTTTTTTTGCCCTTTAATGGCCCCTAATTCCTAAACTTTTGAAGGAATTACCCCCAAAATCAATCCCAGCCTTCCCTTTGTGGTATGGTACCTTGCAGTACAATTTCAGAGAGATCCATACACCTGAACACAAGTTATTGTCTGGAAACTAAAAAAATGCTTATTTTTGGCCCCTTTTTGGCCCCTTATTCCTAAACTTTTTGGGCAATTATCCCCAAACTCAATTCCAGCTTTCCCTTTGCGATATGGAACCTTGTAGTACAATTTCATAAAGATCCATACACTTACACACAAGTTATTGTCATGAAACTAGAAAAATGCTTGTTTTATGCCCTTTTTTGGCCCCCTAATTCCTAAAATTTTGAGGCAATTACCCCCAAAATCAATCCCAGCATTCCCTTTGTGATATGGAACCTTGTGATACAATGTCAGAGAGATCCATACACTTACACACAAGTTATTGTCATGAAACTAGAAAAATGCTTGTTTTTTGCCCCTTTTTGGCCCCTAATTCCTAAAATTTGGAGGCAATTACCCCCAAAATCAATCCCAGCAGTCCCTTTGTGATATGGAACCTTGTGGTACAATGTCAGAGAGATCCATACACTTACACACAAGTTATGTCTGGAAGTTACAAAAATGCTTATTTTTTGCCCCTTTTTGGCCGCTTATTCCTTAACTGTTGGTACCATAACCCCCAAAATCAATCCCCATCTTCCTTTAGTGGTATTGAACCTTATGGTAAAATTTCATAGAGATCCATTCACTTAAACTAAAGTTAGAGTGCGAAAACTAATGTGTCTTCGGACGACAACGACGACGACGCCAACGTCATACCATTATACGACCACAAAAATTTTTTGGC